CCGGGAGATTGCCGGGCAGAGCGCTGCCACCCTGTTCAGTGTCCCCAGCAGAGCACCCGGCCCGGAAAGGGGAAGGTGGAGGGGCCAGGAGATTCGAGACACAGGCAAGAGGTTCTCCACGGCTCCCTGAGACCCTGCGGGAGGAATTCCCTGTTTTAAGGGGACAAATATTTGCCTCAGCTGCTTTTTACATCCCATTAAATACATCAGGGGAAAAAAAAGCAGCAATATTCAAACCCTAGACTGTCTTCAGTTCACTCCATTGCCAACCTAGCTCATTAGGGGTTCCTTCAGGGTGTTCCCCAAGCAGCTTTCCCAGCTCTCAGCCCCGCTCACGCAGCCAGCCTGCCCGTGTCTGCTTCCCACAGCAGGCAGAGACCTCCGCCAGCCCCCCCGCAGGACAGCACAGCCCTCCTCAGCACAGCTTTCCACTTGTCCGCTTTATACCACCACCAAGAGATGGGAGGAGTGTGCTTTCAAACAAAGACAGCATTTTACAGGAGTTCCCGGAGGCTTTTATTTACAAAGCTGTTTGTCAGGGATTAAAGCTCCTTGGTTTCTATCCCATTCTGTCTTGACTTCTCTAGTCTGTGGAATAAGATGCCGGTGTCGGGTCCAAGCTGTCTCCCTTCAAAGGGACACGGCCTCCCGTTGTAGCGTGGCAGAAATGTCAAATTTGAGAGAGCTCTCTCTTCTGGCTCGACAGCCAGCCTGGAAAGCAGCTTGTCTGCAGTGTGTGGGATCACGGGCTGCAGCAGAGTCCCGTAGACCCGCAGGCATTCCAGCGTGACATGGATGATGGTGTCAAGCCAGAGCTGCTCTGCGGGGTCTTTTCGGTTGAGTTTCCAAGGCCTGTGTCTCTGGAAGAAGCTGTTGGTCTGCCTCACGCACAGGGCAATGCATTCTAAAGCCTTGTAGATCTGGAAACCTTCAAAATAACCAGCCACCTGCAGAGGCAGAGAAGCCACAGACGCCACAAACTCATAGTCCTCAGCACAAGCCCTACCCACAGCTTTTGTCTCCCTGTCATCCAAGATCCTTGGAAAGCAAGACTCGGAGAAGCAAGCATAGGTGTTGCTGGGGTTAATGCTGAGGGCTGTTGATCGGTTCAGAAGCCCCCCGAGCGCATCCACCAGTTCTGAATTCACTACCTTAACAACCTTCTCGTCGTAGTAGTTGCAGTCCCGCCGCCCGGCCTCAGCCGGAAGTACCGAAACCCATCCAACGTGTACCGCCCAATGCAGGCCGAGGGCTCGACCACGTTGCCCAGGCTTTTGGACATCTTCTGCCCGCGGACGGTCCAGTGGGAATGCACCAGGATCCGCTCGGGGGGGGCCAGTCCCGCTGCCATCAGCAGCGCTGGCCAGTAGACAGCGTGAAACTTGAGGATGTCCTTGCCCACAACGTGGTGTGCAGCGGGCCACCACTCCCCGTGCGCCTCAGGGTAGCCCACCGCGCTCAGGTAGTTCACCAGGGCATCCACCCAAACGTAAATGGTTTGTGTGGGGTCACTGGGAACAGGGATACCCCACTGCAGCCGGCTTCGCTCACGCGAGACGGACAAGTCCGGCAAGTCCTCTTCCAGCCAGCGGAGCACGAGCTGGTAGAAAGGGGCAGGGGAAACGGCCTGGGGGTTGTCCCGGAGCCACTTCCACAGCGGATCCCGGAACGAAGAGAGCCTGAACATGTAGTTCTCCTCTTTGGTCCAGTGCACCTGAGAAGGCGAGAGAGAAAAGAATGACGGGCCAAATGCTCTGCAAACAGTTTTACAATTTCCCTGAGGTATTCTCAGCACTACTAACAACCTGGGTGGACGAGTTTAGTTTTCTCCTAGGCGCCATGCTCCTCTTTTCCCCCGCTGAAGCATTAGTCCATCTCGGTTGCTAACTCTGTTAGCCTACCGCCATGTTAAAGTACCGACAGCACTTCTCCTACACATTGCAGTTAATTAAATGACACATTTGTCTAAAGCAGTGAAAGCTTTGTGGGTAGATACAGTGTGAGCGAGCTGTGTGAAGGCACTCGAGATCTATGGCGAGGCCGAGAATTCCGACCTTGTACAGCTAAGTAAGGCTCCAGGATAAGAAAGTAAAGGCTTTGGCATCACGCGGGAGAGTTTCTGTTTCTAGCACTGAACTCAACAACTTCTGACCAAGCCAGAAGGTGCCTCACTCCCCGCACAAGCAGTGAACAGCCCACCACGCCTTGAGCCCAGACACCCTCAGGAAGAATTAGTCCCAGTGGAACGACACTGCTTTGTGATGTCCCTGAATTTGTCTAACTGCAACAGCAGCCTGCAGCAAATAATACCATTGCTTACGTGAACAGAAAATCACACCAAAAGAAATATTCTTCCCTAAACAAATCCTAAACAAGTTACACAAAAATGTTTTGGTTTCCCCCTCCTGCCCCCAAATTCTTTGTTTTTCCATAACCTTTTCCAGTTGCTGGGTTCCAGTTCTCAGCACTCTGTCCAGGCGTAGCGCTGCACAGAGCCAGCGCCCCGTCCTCCATCCAGAACTCTCTTTGACACAACCCAGTGATCCTTGTGGTAACAACGTGGGACACAAAAGCCACTGCAAAGTGGGACCTGCAATAATTTCTTCTGAAACACTGACCAAGTCTGGCGTTGGAGCTCACCTTACATCACCTGCCAAGAGCTGAGCTACCCAGCAGCCAGCCACCCGCAGGAAAGGTGGTGGGCAGGCGAGCACAAAGCCCTTCAGCGTGAAAAGAGGCTGGAAAGAGGCTGTCTCCTACAAACCGGTAAGCTAGAGCCTGGAGCACACAGAGAGGCTGACAAAGCACGGGGTAATTACAACAACCCACAGAGCTGGGGTCTCTGTTCAAGCCTTGCCTGCAAACAGCGACTGGAACATCTGCCCTGCAGAGAAATCTGCGTGCCGTCTCCCCCAGCCTTCAGACAGCTCTGACCTGAGGAGCGCAGGATGATTCAGGAAGCCTCTAGTCCAGGCTCCTGCTCACAGCAGGGTCACCTTCGGGGTTCGAGCAGTTTACTCAGGGCTTTAGCCAGGCACAAAACCTCCGCAGCGGTGGGAGATCCTCGGTCAGGTACCACGCTCCTGGCTGCACCACTGTTCAGCCATCACACCCGACCCCTGGCAGAGGACGTTACACTTTACGCAAGGCCAAAGCCCACGTAACAAGACCGATGAAAAGCGTCCAGAGGCCAAACTGAATTGTCTCACTAAATGGGTCTGAAACTCCGGACACCCAGTAAACACCTCAGCTCTGAACACCTTTATCCTTCCACACAGCCAGCTTCTTTCATCACTGTTTTCAAACACTGCTCCTGGGGCAACAGCCCGTGAAAGCCAGCAGCAGCTGAATCCTTCCCATGGCTCCCAATCCGCATCTGCCAGGGGGACTTTGGCAGCTCTCCCTCGCACAGCCACACGCCAGGACAAACACCGGACAGACATTCTACAGAACAGAGGCGAGTCTCAGCTGGCGTGAGTTACAAAGGGCCACAGGAAGCACTGCACCCCAAACCTGGCCAGCCCAGAGCAGCAGATGAGTGCAGGAGCGGCCGTCCTGGGCCGGTGCTGGGGCCGTTACCTGGTGGCCGGTCTCCAGAGACACCTTGCACAGGCGTCCCTGGGCATCCCTGCGTTCGGCGAGCTGGCTCTCGGGCAGGAAGCTCTCCTCGGCAGTGCAGTACCAGCCTTGGTACGAGCCTTTGTAGAGAGCCCCGCCGTCCTGCAGCGCGCCCCAGAAATGCCGCACGGCTCGCTGGTGGTGGGGCTCGCTGGTGCGCGTGAAATCCGTGAAGG